CGGTGGGGAGCAGCCTGGCCTCTCCCCGCTGGGGCAGGGCACTCAGTCTGCAGCCTTGCAGCAGTGCAGACCTGGCAGTTGCAGCCCTGCATTCCATGCCCCCTCTCCCCATGTCACCCTGCTGCCCCAGCGGGGGCGGTGGGGAGCAGCCTGGCCTCTCCCCGCTGGGGCAGGGCACTCAGTCTGCAGCCTTGCAGCAGTGCAGACCTGGCAGTTGCAGCCCTGCATTCCATGCCCCCTCTCCCCATGTCACCCTGCTGCCCCAGCGCCCCTCTAGCGTGGAGGGCAGGGAAGAAACTCTGTAGCTCATTAAGGAAGAGGGGCCCAGCGGCGCGCACCTAGGTGACGTTTTGCCTGGACTTCACCTTAGCTCTTACCGCACTTGGCCATTCTTCATCTCTTGTGTTTGCACCCCCAAACCCTAGGCTGGTTTTGACAAAGTACCCTCAAATCTTTGGGCCCCCGAAGTTGATTGACCACTGAGCTGGGTGTTGTGGGAGATGTGCTTAAAAGGGGCAAAAAATATTAATAGGGATTTTGGACACTCCCTGTGGGGTTTGGAGGTTCTGAAAGGGAGTGGATGGGGGAGTTAGTTTGATATGTGCAGTTACACTGATTGCACGTCTTCTGTGTGCGAAAGAGCATGAGACTCAGAAGGAAATTTGAGAGTTAAGAAAGACAATGTGTATTTGCTTGTTGCATGACTGGTCACAGGAATTTCTCCTCCCTCCCTTTTCTTGCTACTGTACTGTTCCAGGTGTTTCTCTCAAACATGAAGCATGAACAGACATTGTGCCTTATTTCTCATAGCTTCAGAGGGGTAGCTAAGTTAGCTACCCCTCTGAAGCTATGATACCATCTACATGTTTTGTTAGTCTTTAAAGTGCTACCATACTGTTTTTTAAGTTTTTCTCCTACTCTGTCTGTTGCAAGCCCTGTACCTGGTAGCTTTGCCTGGAAGTGATTTGTTCTTATGAAATAAAATCTGATGCAGACATGGTTCTCCCCCTTGGACTTCTGGTTTTAGAAATAGGGTGGTGGATCACTGGCTTTAGTTTAGTCAGATCTCCAGTATTCTTAAGGCCATGGTGCTAAAGGCTGCTCTGATTGGTTAGCTTGCACCATATTTCAGCTCCGAAGAGAAAAGAAGGCTTTAATCAAATGCTTTGGGCTATGGTATTTCCAAAAGGAATTGGTCCCGTCAGACATTGTAAACAGCTATTTTGAATGGTAACTCAATACTGTGAGGTTTCATAGCACTTTCACTGTAAACCGGGCATAGAAGATTTCACACCAAGAATGGTTTCTTAAATTATGTGTTAGACACCCAAAGGCAGTGGCTCTGCAGGGTGGAGACAGGTGGTGAAGTGACTTCAGAGGTGTTGAGTTTGGGTCGGGCTTTTTGTAACTGAATTTTGCAGGCTGTTAATTTAGACTGTCGATGAAATACTCGTGGTGTTCTCAAGAGAGACCCTTTCACGGCAGTTGCTTCTCTGAAACGTAGGTTGCTTTGAGTACAATAGCATGTGTGCGCACATTCATCAAAAGCTTCTTAAGTGCACGTAGCCGGACTTGAGTCTCAGCAATATCCAGAAGACTAAAACCTACTGCTTTGAAAAGGAAATGCTAATTAATTTGGGCACTAAACAAAGAAGTCCCTGAATAAGTGTACACAGATTGATATGACCTTTACTTTCATAGTTTTGATTGAAAGCTATTCAGCTGGGATTTGATGCTTTTTGAAGGATTGCTATAGCTGCTACGTTACCTATCTTGTTTTGGCTGTGTTAATTTTAATAGGTATTGAATTTTTCCTTTATTTAATCTAGGAAATAAAGTTCTGAAAGACATTTGGCATATAAAGTTCTCGCACTCACACTTTCCCTATCTTGGTCTACTGATAACCTTTCCATGAACTGCACTGGCCTTGTACAGCATATGGGGATGGGGATCCATGAACTAAATCTGAATGGGACTGGACACCATAAACTGTATTCATAAGAGGCCATTGGAGACACATCTTCAATCCTGCTCTTGGGTGAGAAGGACACGGAGTTGCTGTAAGTCCTAGAGAAGCTCAAAAAGAGGGGTGTTCTATTGGTTCTGAACCATTTTCCCATCATCGTGCTGTGGGTTAGGGATGTTAAATTGTGGGTAATCAGCTAATCGAGTAGTGGATGGATTTTCCATTGACTGCTCAATTAGTCGATAAGGGGGGAAACTGCAGAGCTACAGCAGGGTTAGCTCCCAACCCAGGAGCTTATCCCACTGTGGCTCTGTTGTGAAGACTAAGACTTTAACAGGTTTCAGAAAAGAGCTAGATAAACTCATGGAGGTTGGGATGGGGAGGAATGGTGTCCCTAGCTTCTGTTTGTCTGAAGGTGGGTGACAGGGGAGGGATCATGTGAGGATTACCTGTTGTGTTCCCTCCCACTGGGGTAGCTGGCATTGGCCACTGTCGGGAGACAGTATACTGGGCTAGATGGGCTTTTGGTCTGACCTTCTATGGCTGTTCTTATGTTATGTTCTCTGCCGTTTAAAAAGTAGAGGCATAGCAGGGGGACCAGGCGCAAGCTGGGAATCTGCTGATTCCTGGCTCGTGCCTGGTCCCCCGTTACATGGTGCTGGAGGGAACCAGCTTTTAAGCCAGCTCCCCCAGCACTGGCTCCTATTCACTATCACCCTTGCTGTCTCTCTTTTCACCTTAGAGGTGGCTTGATTTCATTGCCAGTGGGAACTTTCTGTGCAGTACGTCTGCCCTGTGCCTGTTTTCCAGGATTATTGTGAATTGGTGTGGCTTCGCAACATCTGGTTTTACCTGCCTTGAAGTATCTTTCAGCCCTCATGACCTGCAAAGGACAAACCTTCTTTAAAAATGTCTAGACTATATGATTGTAAAAAGAACCTCCCAAATGTGAACTAAATAGAAAATGGTGCAGAAGTGTCAACCCCAAACTGTTGTCAGCTGTAACAGTTGAGATGTGAAATATTCCGTTCAGCTCAGAGCGGTAACTCTTGAGCCTGATTGTGACAAAGAGTCAGAGTTTCAAATAACGTAGTACACAACTGTGTACCCGATTGGTGCCACAGCAGTTGGTTTTGCAAATCGCGTAATCACACCTCCCAGGTACCATATAACCGAAGGGTAAAAAGGCACAGGGTTTGGCTATACTTCCACCTCAGCAGGGTCATCTGCTAGCCCTGGGAGAGAGCTCTTCCAGCACTCTAGGTTAACCACCTCGATGAGGGGAGCAGCTAACAGCCCTGGGAACCTGTTTGCACAGCTGCTTTAGAGCCATGTAACTTGCTGTGATAGGGGATGGTTTTTTTTCACAACTCTGAGCGAGAAAGTGACTGTGCAGTAACTTGCCAGTGTAGACAAGCCCATCATTCTAAAAGTGCTTGGTATTTTTACTTTGTACTAAATTAA